CTCTTGTATGAAACACATTTTTACGACCTCAGGGGAATCTACGCCGCACAAACAAGCATTTCAGCTAAGCAATCATTGATATCAAACGTGGCATGTGTAATTTACATTAAGCATGAAACTGCAAAAAAGATGGTTCTGAGGGTGAAGAAAATCGCTCACAAAAGTCAAACGATCGACTGAATTTTACCGAGTTTAATTTGTCGAAAACATCCGAACAAACGCGCATGTTTTGTAAGGAATCGAAGTGCTGATCAGATTAGATGCTGGCATAGTGTGGCATCACACGCCTCGTGTATGCCGCACAAAAAAGAATAGTTGGATAGAACTTATCGGTGATGAAAATTCAACCGCTATGTTGTGTTTGGATGTTTATTAATGTCGTCGATAGGATTTTTATTTTATCATCACATTTATTATCATCGTCATTATTTCAATTATTACTATTATTTTCGCTTTTTCTATCCTAATAAACGCGTCTCTTTCTATTTTCAGGGGAAATATTTTAGAAATATTTAGCGTAAAAGGTAATTCTTTATTTAAAACGCCTTTAACGAATAATGCGTAAACTGGGAGCTCTCACGACCCTGTAATAACCACAACATTTTTCAGTTACTTTCGATGTAACTTTTCCAACGTGTTGGATTGAATATTATTACGAGATAAAGTGGTTTTAAAATTCTAGTTGTTTTGACCTGTTTATTCAGAAGTTATTTAATACTCCAGATGGTTGCAAGCCCATAATGTTCATGTCCTCTTATTGGCTTGATTCGAAGTGAGGTCATTAACATAAATGATAATTGTATTCAGAAATACATCCGTATGCAAAGTAAACAGCACATTCCTCCTTTTTTTTGTTTATGTCATCACGGAAGGAACATTTATTTTCCGCGACTTTCGACTTTATTCAGCGAGAATCTTTTCATTCTGAGAGAAACACCCTTGATAATTAACAAATGGTAAACACCACAGCGTACACTATTGAGTTATGGATGCACGAGGGAGGTTGCTAAGCACGAAAGAAGCGTAAGAGTCGCTCGAGGCGATAGCCGAGAGCGACTCTAGCTTCTTGAGTCGCTATAACGCACTAGTGTACGCCATAACGCACTAGTGTACGCTGTGGTGTTTACCATTTGTTTTATAACATAACATTGATACACTGTAGCTAAAGAGTTCCCTTTCATTTAACAAATCTTACGCGACCAGAAAAAACAAGCGCGCGCGGAAAAATAGTCTTTGCATTTGCTCACGTCAGCAGCGTACACCCATGGGCAAATGGGGGACGCTAAATTGACCAATCAGAGCGCACGCTTTACTTTGGTTATGTTATAAAGCTATTTACTTNCTCCTGATGGCGCTCACTTACTCTAGATTGGAACTGCGGAGTGTTTTGTTGTCGGTTCCTCTAAGCAAACCGCTAAACTCGACGCTGCGGCGAGCACTGACTGGGATTGGTATTTCAAGAGCAAGACCTATGCGTCGCAGCTGTAGATAGAACTGGCCAAAGGAAGCCAAGACTTATTAGAACTATTGAGGCAAAAGCTACTAAGGCAAGAACATTGGAGTTAAGGGCTTCTCAGCAAGTTAATTCCACTCAAGAGCGTTTTCTCGCTGAGGAAAGATATGGTGACTCAGAAAAATGGTGGCCATTTGCAGATTCCTTCGCGGGATTAATTAAATATTCATTTTGACGCCTCTCGCGATAGCATTGAAAACAATCCCATTGTTACTGGCCGGCCTTTGTCGTCTGCTGGTGTTAATGAGTGTACAGTTAAACCATTAACACTGTGCTCAGCGAAATCCAAGTCTGCTGATTTACTGGACTAAATTCTTTCATCTGGTGCTGATCTTTTCGCTCTTAGTGAGACTTGGCTCAATGCTAATGATACTGCGGCAAAACTGGAATTTATCCCGCCTGGCACGCATAATTTTATGCACCATAATTGATCAGGACGCAAAGGAGGCGGAACAGGTCCGCTCTTCAGAGAGAGAACATTGGAGTTAAGAAAATTGATGCCGGAGAGAAGACCTCAGTTGAGTTATCGGAATGGAGCCTAATTTTGAATTCATTCCGGGCTAGGCTATCTATTATTTGGCACCCACCGTATTCTTCTCAGCATCCAGTGACTCTGAATACTTTTATGGAGGAGTTTGCTACTTATTTAGAATCCATGATATCAGTGCCTGAGCAGTTAATTGTGACTGGGGACTTGAACATCCTTGTAAATGATACAAATGATCCCAACGCTTGCGAGTTTCTGGACTTGCTTGTATGTGTGGGTTTAAAGCAGCATGCGAAGGGTTTGGCACATGAGGGTGGCCACACTCTGGATTTCGTCATCACCAGGGAAGATGATGACATCATCAAGAGTGCGGTAGTCATTGACCGGTTCATATCTGACCATGCCTCAGTACTTTATCCCTTGAACTCTGTAAAAACACCAGCTGTTGTGAAGGAGACCAATTACAGACAGCTGAAGGCTATTGCCCTAGATGCATTGCCCGCAGATCTCAGGGATTCTGATCTGTGTACCACGAAACTCACAGATGTGGATGAAATGGCCAGCTGCTACGACTCCACTCTCCAGGCCACTCTTGACAAACACGCACCTCTGAAAACTAAGACTGCCGTCAACAGGAGGCGAGTTCCCTGGTTTAACATTCAGATGAAGGATGCCCTACGAGCTAGACGAAAGCCTGACAGTATCTCGCGCAAGTCTAAATCTGCGGATGACTTTAGCGTTTTTAAGGCGAAGAAAAACCATGCAACATTCACCAGGAATCAAACCCGTTGGGAATATTACACCACTCATATTCAACAAAGCAGCTCTAACCAGAGGAAGCTGTTCCAAACTACTAAGGCCTTGTTGTGTGATGCTAAAGATGTTTCTTTCCCTCCGAGCAACCCTGACCGTGAATATCTGCTGGGCTGTAGGAGTAAAGCAAAGATGTTGGTTAAGTCAGAGAATCCACCTCGACTGGAGAATGGAAGAAAGAAAGGATACATGCGGATAATGAAAGAACTGTGGAATGACTCGGGTTTTGGAAATTTGGAGTTAACAAGTGAGGATTGAAGGTGTTACGAGTTCGAATTATTTTCACTAAATCTGTCACACAATCTTAGACTTTTCTAGAATTATCTTTAGTTTGTAATATTCCAGAAACTTCTTCCTTGTGACTAAGCAGTTTTCAAAACAGTACAACTTGTAATACACTATAAATTGTTATAGAACATTCTAGGTACCTAAAGTAAATGTATAAAAGCTGGCTTGTGAGAAGTGAAAGAAAGATTTGCCCGAGGGCTTACCCTCGTGGCTTGCTGACTGAACTTGTGGAAGATATGATGTGACGAGGCTATGACCTTTTGACCTTGCGATCTCCGGAGAGAGGAAAGAGAGGAAGAAGACGATAGGCGAGAAAGGAAGAAGATAAAGAATACAGAGTTTACTATGGAGTCCTCCGGAAGAGTTTGTGTAGACGGAAAGAATGTGATGAATCAAGAAAGCCAAGCGTTGTGGTCTTCAGTCGGCGGAAGTTGGAATTGGAAGTTGACCAATACTACGAATATTTACATGGTATGAAGGATTGCTTTACGAACTGCTTAACCTTATCTTTAACCTAAGTAAACAGTGTAAAACTAATTAAATAATAGTTAAAATAGCTAACTGCTTGTTGTTACATTTTTATTGCGTGCTCTATATCGTGTTCGGGAGTCTATTTTTAATTTCGTACACCTAAAAGAGGGATCAAGCGGGGCGCCTGAAAAGACTATGGGAGATTCAAGAGTTGTCATTTCTGAAAGTGTTGGACAGAGGGTTCGGGAAGAGGAATTGACGATTACAGATTTTAATCCTCGTAACTTGGAGTCAACTAATTTCGAAGTCAATC